TGAAATGACAATGATGTCTCAAAAAATGAAGAGAATGGGAGGTTCAACGACAAAGCTAGGAACACTCCCAACAAAATGACTTACACTCATCTGTGTTGGGTGACTTCTAACACTCTAAACACACATGAAGACCGCCTAAAATGAAATCTATGATGGGTCAGTTTGGTATGAAGAAGCTTAGAGACTTTTTCTTGGGTATATGCAAATATGATGCAATTATCTATAACAGTCTTATGGTGTGAAAACCTTATTAATCATGATTGGGTCATTGCCATGCCAAGCTAAACTTTTTAAAACCGGTTAGAATGTCATGCAAAAAATAAAGTGTATGTTTTTAATTTTCAAAGGTTTTAATAAATCTTCTCTGGATGAGGAATCTAGTGAAATCAATTTTTTGATAAAGACAATAAGCAATCAAATGGACAATAAACATGTTTCATATCAAACTTCATGCTAACCAACGGTGAACTCTCTCGGGCAAGGCTATATAAACTCCAACCCTAGTTCCGTACCAAAAACACGTACCGAGAAGTTTTAATGGATGCCTTAAGCTACTAGAAGCTATGAATGAATAAAATACAATATTTTGTCATTCAAGTGGATACTTTACACACATTACATCAAAAATTGATGCCAATAGGACGATTGTTGCTGTTGAGGAATAAGATTCTTCCATCAGGTTGGATCTACTGTAAGGTAGATCAATGCATTTGCTCGGCTTTCTTATAATGGTTAGCTTAGATGATTATTTATTTTACTTTAGTCTAATTGATTTGGACTCGAATCGTTCAGTCTTTCTTTTTGTTCTTCTACTAACTCGATCAACCTTTTACCCTGACTCAGGTGTCAATATATGATCAGACAAATAGGTCTATTAGTCTTCTATCGGTGGGCCCTCTTTAATCATGCTTCCTCTCTTCTTGATTGTGGATTTTCTCCGGATCCCCACAGGCACATGTTTTGATGTACATGTGTTCAGCATGAAGTTTAAATTTTAAGGACGAAGAGAAAATTTTCTCTTAAATTAATTAAACAGAATAAAATTTCTATAATGCATAATATAGTGTATCCAATAATAATTTTCTATGAAGATTTACACGTATATCACTTAATGTCTATTTATTGTCATGTCTAACATCAAAAAGTGATTTCTAATAACTTTTCACATTATCTCTTCCTCTTTTATAGAAAGACATTTTATTATAAAATATACATAAATAGTAATTTCATTCAGAGGATAATATGTGACAGAGATAACATATTTTTTATCTACCATAATGCATTTCGTCTGGTTACATTTCTCCTCGGCCGGGTTGAGAGGTTCGACTGGAGAGGGCTCGATAGAGAGTTTCAGTTGAAGAGAGTCGAGTAATGAGTGGTTGATTTCAACATATTATTTGGACAATCTCAACACCTTAAACTACCGAAGATTATTTTTATCATAGAGATGAATATTTAAATAAATATAGAAATAGAAAAAAAAAACTCAATATTTGGTTCCTCGTTTTATTATTCTTTTCGCTTAAATTTATTGCATTTCAAACATCTAAATTTTATTTTTTTATCATTTTTATTATATTATTCTTTTCGATTAAATTTATTGCTTTTGAAACATCTAAATTTTATTTTTTTATCATTTTTATTAAAAAATAAATTAATAAAAAAAATTAATCATGATCAACAAATTTATTAAATTTATTGAACTTGTTTTCATAATTAGCATTAATCATAATCATTACTCGAACCACAAAATAATGGAAAAATATTCATCAAAGGAATTGTTTATATATTTTTTTATTAAAAAATAAAAATAAAATCAATATAAGGCATGTAAGAGGGCCATTTACACACATGCCACTTAATTTTTGCTTATTTACAATCTAACACCTATTTTTCTGCTTTTTACATTGTAAGAAAGTAAATTTAGGCGTTAGATATAAAAATACATAGGAATTGAGTGGCATATATGTAAAATCATTATTTATATGCCTAAGTGCTATAGGCCCTTGGCACACTTTTATCATTGACAACCCATCAAGTATTCTTGGCAGTCAAGCAACTTTCATCATAAGAAACTTCCATCTTGTCTTCTCTTTATCTCTTTCAAACCATCATGTCTTCCTTCACACCTCAAATGAACTTGCTCAAATCCCACTTCTGTCCACTTCTGTTAGTTAGTGGAGAATAATAATAATAATAATAATCTAACCAATGAATTATTGCTGAATAAATGAATGCAGAGGTATAATTGCTTACTGAAAAGTCTATCAATAGATAGAATAATAGTAATAGTTTTAATCCTAATA